AGAAGATGTGGCACATATATACAATGGAATATTACTCAGACATAAAACCAAACAAAATTGAGCTATTTGTAATGAGGTGGATGGACTTAGAGTCTGTCATACAGAGTGAAGTAAGTCAGAAAGAGAAAGACAAATACCATATGCTAACACATATATATGGAATTTAATAAAAAAAAAATGTCATGAAGAACCTAGGGGTAAGAGAGGAATAAAGCCTCAGACCTACTAGAGAATGGATTGAGGATATGGGGAGGGGGAAGGGTAAGCTGTGACAAAGCGAGAGAGAGGCATGGACATATATACACTACCAAACATAAGGTAGATAGCTAGTGGGAAGCAGCTGCATAGCACAGGGAGATCAGCTCGGTGCTCTGTGACCGCCTGGTGGGGTGGGATAGGGAGGGGGAGGGAGGGAGACGCAAGAGGGAAGAGATATGGAAATATATGTATATGTATAACTGATTCACTTTGTTATAAAGCAGAAACTAACACACCATTGTAAAGCAATTATACTTCAATAAAAATGTAAAAAAAAAAAAAAAGTCATAGGAGCCTAGGACCATCTAAGGGGGAGGAAACAATTCAAAAACTTTCACTGTCTCCAGAGAGCATAACTGTTTTGTAGTCTAGTAGGCAAATTCATGCTCATAATATTTTCTCCATGTAAATAGCAGTTTATGTAATATTCTCTATTTCAGAATCTTAATTTATATTTTAAAACATTTTCCTTTTAAAACAGTTCAAACTGTAAGCCACTGGTTTCTTAAAGAGATGCGCATCAGCTATCTGGAAAAGTATATTGCCTAAAGTACCCTTAAAAGAAATGGCCCATTATTGCAACAAGACATATTTAGAACAGGATTTTAGAGTTCCAATTCAGCAAAATAAGATGAAAAGTGTGGAAATAAGCTCAAACACTCAACATTCAGATTGTGAACTATTTTAACATGTATCTTAGTTCAGTCTAAAAGCATAAAAGATACTATTGAGAATTTCATTAATCTCTGATGCCCTTTGAGTCTGGATGAAAATAAAGCTGAAATCTGGATGTTCTTGACTATGTGGATTCATCCCATTTATCCTAGAGCATAAATTATTATGAGAGCATCATTACAGTGAGATCAGTTATAACCAGAAGTAAAGTTCTTTCTTTTTCTTCCTCCTTGTGCAGTGTATTTGACTTTCTGAATGAGGACAGCCGGGATCCATGATTCCTTGTGGATTATGTCTCTTAAAAAGTGGGTACTCTTCTTTCTCAAGGAATTTTGATGATTGGATTTACTAGTCCCTCTGAACTGAACCTACCTTTGGCATCAACTCAGTCTCCACAGAGTTAGAGGCCAGTTTGTAAAATGGTAGCGATTCTCTACAATTCATTCTTCGGGGGCATTTTATAGAGTGCATAAAACCCATTACAGAACGCAAGAGCTAGTTAATGACCCCACTCAGCATGTGCTTGCTCTTCTGTCTTATATTACCTGATCAGCCACAGCTCGGGCTAATTTGTCCATTCGAGAGCCTGCTTCGGCAATTTTCTTGGCGGCATTAATCACATCTGATGTATTTTTCAACGGGCCTTTGCCTCTGAAAAAACAGACACAACATAATTAGAAATCCACTTATGACAGGAAATAGACACACCTACCATATTGTTTGTCCAGGACTCTGCTTTTGTATTTGATTTGGCTCTGACCAAGTTAGAGGAAATTTGAATGTTTTCTTGATTCACTTCAATTTCCATGTAAATAATTCAATTTACTTGCATTCATTTTTAGGGAATATTTTTCCCTATTTGGATGTGCATGCTCACATTTTATTCTTTACATGCATTTCTATATATTTTAAACAGTGGTCCCTTAAAAAATATGATCACCACAAGAGCAATGGGAATTTAATATGTAAATGCTTACCATGTGTCTATGCTGTTGTATATACATTTGTCTTCATAACAACCCTAACAAGTAGGCATCATCATTCCCATTTTAGAGAAGAGAAAAATAGACTAAAGTGAATAACTCATCTAAGCTTATGCAAATCATGTGATAAATTCTAAATTTAAATCAGAGGCTAGCCAAAATAAATGCACATGCGTTGTCTTTCATACCATGCTCTGCACTATTATTATGTTAATTATATTTTTAAGTCCACTTTGGCTCCTTAAGAAGCCACTGTCTCTTGTCCATAACTGGGAACTGTTTGGCCAGAATTTCAGAAATCTGCTGAGCTCTTACTCTTGCTGGTTTATATGTTTCTGGGACTGACTTATGAAGGAAGACGCACAGAACACTGTGTGACAGTAGATGTATTTATGCTGAACCATTTTCCCAGTATTTTCACATAAGGCTTTCAATTAGGTGAACTGTTTAAAATTACTTGTCTTTTAAATATTTATTAGAAAGGAAAAGGAAATTATGCTGCATCATAAATCTTTAAACAAAATGTTGCATATGATATGATTTTTCTTCACTTTTCTTGAGAGGTAAATAAAATAATAGACTAAATACATTCATCCTTATATTTTTAGCATTGTTACTAGTCTCCTTATATGCATCTAAAAATCAATGCATTTTTTAGGTCTACAAACTTATAAACCTATAGTTAAGACATGTGGTAAAATATAGAGAAAAACCACTCAGAAGTGATTTATTTAGAATGCATAGAGACTGGGCAATGATTGCCATTGTTATATAATAATGTTTTATAAAATGGAAGCCTTAAAATGACTTTAGAAAATAAATGTAAATGAAGGGCATTTTGTTTCCCTCTTAATTTTGCCTCTGGCATTTTCAGTGTTAGTAGGTAAAAGTAAAATATATTGTGTTCATGTCAGTGCTTAAACACGTACATAGGGAAATTCAAAGCAAGCTATTTCATTTTGCTGTGGTAACATTAACTCTTCCACAAAAGACACTGATTTTTTTTCAGTTGTTGTATAGATTTTTAAAATATGGACAGAGATTTTACATGTGAATTTGATATAATATGGATGAATTAAAGAATCTGGACAATTGGGCTCCCATTCTCTCACATTATTTTTTTTAAATTATCTCTAAATAAACTTTTATTTTGTTTTTGGTTTATATTTTTAAAGGAAAGGTTAGATGCAGAATCTGTTAATATTTAATATTACTCTCATTATTGTTTATTTCTCTGTAACTTCCAAACCTTAGAAAATCTTTTTTGCAAACTTACTCTGACAAAATATTTGTTGTTACCTTTTGCCTTCATCTTAACCCATTCACAAAGGGCTGCACTATGCTTGATTTTTCATTACTAACAATCTTGGTGTTTGTTTGCTCCAAGAATTTCAAAGGACTTGAGGAAATGCTTTCTCATGAACTTTTCATGATAACTTTCAACAGTTGATTGACTCTGACAAAATGTGCTAAGTTAATAAAGAACATTTATAGAGACTTGAATTTGTTTGAGGCTGAGACTCCCATATTGCAGCTAAAGCATGATTAGAAGCATGTCTTTTGTGATTACACCAGAGACTACAGTACATAGACTCACTATTATATTGTATTTAAAATTTTGAGACTTTAGAGGTCACATTGCAGACTCAATTCAAATGTTTGGAATCACAAGTTGATGACAGGGATGTATTACATGAAACTAGAGAGCAATGCAGAAATTTGGGGATCATCAAATATTTCCTCATTTTCTGATTGAGAAAGCTGAAACCCGAAGAGGAAGCGAAGTGACCTGCCCAAGACGATAATGCAGAGAGTGATAAGAGAGAGAAAAAGGACTGCAACCTCTGTGTCTCTAATCACAATTTAGTACTCTTTTTGCTATATTCTGATGAGATAGCTAAAGTAGTAATCTCAGAGAAACACAAATAGCCATAACTACAGATATTAATATGCAAGAAATAACAAAAACAATAATCATCTGACTCAAGAATTTAGAAAGTAGGAAGAAACTAATAAAAATCACTAACATGTGGAATCTAAAATATGGCACAGATGAACCTATCTACAAAACAGAAACAGATTCACACACATAGAGAACAGCCTTGTGGCTGCCAAGGAGGAGGGGGGTGGGGGAGGGGAGGACTGTGAGTGTGGGATTAGCATATGTAAACGATTACATATAGGATGGATAAACAACAAGGTCCTACTGTATAGCACAGGGAGCTATATTCAATATCCTGTGATAAACCATAATGGAAAAGAATATTAAAAAAAAATGTCTCTATTACAGAGTCACTTTGCTGTACAGCAGAGATTGGCACAACATTGTAAATCAACTATACTTCAATAAAAAAATTAAATTAAAAATATAAGAAGAGATTTATGAGTTAGAAAATAACAGAACACAGAAAATAAATAAATCGATTCCAAAAAAAAGGAAGGCAAAACTGATATAGAAAATATACTTAGCTTGCTATCAAGAAAAAAATAGGAGAAAAATATTCTAAAGTAAAAAAAGGTAAGATTTAAATTATCTTAAAAGAACAGAACATTTGAAGTATTACAATACTAGTTTCCTCAAATACATGTAAAGAAATTTGAGAACATGGATGAAATAACTTTCTAGGAAAATATAATTTACCAACACTGGCTAGAAAGTAGATTTTGAAAACTCTAAAGAATCTGATTTCCATGAAAGAAATAAGTAAGGCTGTCAGAGAGAAAGCTGGTCAAAAAATCAGTAAATCCAGATGGTTTCTCAGAGGAATTTACTAAACCTTTAAAACAGGGGTCCCCAACCCCTGGGCCACACAGCAGGAGGTGAGTGGCGGGCAGGCAGGCAAGCAAGCTCCCTGCTCCCCCCACCCCATAGTCTGTGGAAAAATTCTAAAAACTGGTCCCTGGTGCCAAAAAGGTTAGGGACCACTGCTTTAAAAATAAGATAATCCCAATGCAATTTAAATTCTTCCAGAATAAAGGAAAAGAAGAAAGACTTCAAAAACAGTTTCATTAAGTAACATAATACTGATATTGTCAGAAGCACCTAATACAAATTATTTATTTAAGATTCTGCACAGCAAAGGAAACCATCAACAAAATGAAAAGGCAACCTACTGAATGGGAGAAAATATTTGCAAATCATAGATCTGATATGGGGTTAATATCTAAAATATATAAAGAACTTAATCAATAGCAAAAAAGAAAATAATCCAATTTAAAGACAGGCAGAGAGCCTGAAAAGACACATTTCCAAAGAAAACATACAGATGGTCAACAGGTACATGAAAAGGTACTCAACATTACTAATCATGAGGGAAATGCAAACCAAAACCACAATAAGATATCACCTCACACCGGTCAGAATGGCTTATATCAAAAAGACAACAAATAACAGACGTTGGCAAAGATGTGGAGAAAAGGGAACACTTGTGCACTATTGGTGGGAATATAAATTGGTGCAGGCACTATGGAAAACAGTATGGAGTTTCCTCAAAAAATTAAAAATAGAACTGCCATATGATTCAGCAATTCCACTGCTGGGTATTTATCTGAAGAAAATGAAAATACTAATTTAAAAAATATATGCACTCCTATGTTCATTGTAGCATTATTTACAATACTCAATATATGGAAGCAACCTACGTGTCCATCAATGGATGAATGAATAAAGACAAAAATAAATGGAAAGACACCTCATGTACATGGATTAGAAGACCTAATATTATTAAGATATCAATACTACACAAAGCAATCAATGTAATCCCTATTAAAAACCCAGCAGCAATTTTGCCAAAATAGAAAAATCTATCTTAAAAAATCATATGGATTATCAAGGCACCCCAAATAGCCAAAACAATCTTAAAAAAGGACAAAGTTGGGGGCCTTACTACAAAGCTACAGTAATCAAAACAGTGTAGTACTGGCATAAAGACAGATGTATAAAATAATGGAACAGAATAGAAAGCCCAGCAGATTTTTGACAAGGTTGTCAAGACCATTCAACAGGAAAAGGACAGTGTTTTCAACAAATGATATCGGGAAAATTGATATCTACATGCAAAAGAATGAAGCAGGACCTTTATCTTATACCATATACAAAAATCAACTGGAAGTGGATCATGAGAGCTAATCTATACATATTTTACAAGAAAAGTTAAGGGAAAAACTTCATGATGTTGGATTTGGCAATGATTTCTCTCATGCGACACCAATAAAACAGGCAACAGCAACAACAAAAATAGACAAATTTGACTATATCAAAATTTTTAAAACTTCTGTGCATTGAAGGACACAATCAATAGAATACAAAGGCAACCCACAGAATCAGAGAAAATATTTGCAAATCCTATATCTAACAAGGGGTTGATATCCAGAATATAGAAAAACTCCTAGAACTCAACACTAAAAATTAATCAGCCTGATTAAAAAACGGGCAAAAGACCTGAATATACGTTTCTCCAAAGAAGAATACAATGGCTAATCAGCACATGAAAAGATGTTCAACACCACTAATTGTTAGGAAAATGTAAATCAAAATCACAATGAGATACCATCTCACACTCATTAAGTTAGTTACTATAAAAACAAACAAAAACAGAAAATAAGACGTCTTGGCGAGGATGGGAAGGAGTTGGAACCTTTGTGCACTGTTGATGGGAATGTAAAATGGTGCAGCTGCTATGTAAAACAGTACAGTGGTTCCTAAAAAAAAATAAACATAGAAATACCATGTGATCCAGCAATTCCACTCCTGGGTATATATTCAAAGAATTGAAAGCAGGGTCTCAAAGAGATATTTGTACACCCATGTTCATAGCAATATTATTCACAATCCAAGTGCCCAAGAATAGATGAATGGATAAGTAAAACATGATGTATACATTCATTGAAATATTATTTAGCCTTAAGAAGGAATGAAAGTCTGACATGTACAATATGGATGAACCTTGAGAACATTACGCTAAGTGAAATATGCCAGTCACAAAAAGACAAATGCTGTATGTTTTCACTTATATGAGATACTAGAGTAGTCAAATTCATAGAGACAGAAAGGAGAATGGTGTTGCCAGGGATGTTGCCCAGAAAAGATCAGAAGTCTGAGTCTTCCTATTAGTGGAAGGCAGTATGGACAAAGGGACTAGTTCCACTGGCTGTAGTTCCCAGTCTCAAAGTGATGGTTTATACCCTTTGTCTTTCCCTAACTTAATCAGGTTCTCTACTTTGGGCATTTTGAAAGGTGCTTTGAGGAATCTTGTGACCTTAAAGACAAAAGCCATCTTATTGTTCCATTTGGAACATGTTTTTAGTTTTCTTGGAAAAATATCAAGCCATAGAATTGGCTCTACTGTATAGGTTCATGTAACCTTCTCTCTTTTGCTAATAGGTGATTCTTATACAAGGGTCAATATTTGGAAGCTTTCCCAGGAAATGGTCACTTCCAAAAAAAAAAGAGAATCATGGAAAGCTATTACTGCATTACTGCTATCCACAATTTAACAACTAATTCATATTTATTTCATGAAAAGGTAATAGGTATTAATGAGAAAAATCAATGTGTGAGTGCATTCTGAGTCAATGTACTCAGTACCCAGAATTCTTAAATTCTGAGTTAATCCAAATTAAAAACATTTATTTACTATAGTTTTCTCAGTACCTCTAACAGATCAATATATGATGTGACTCTCCAGTAATGAGATATAGTAAGTAAGGAGTATATTTGTAAATGTACTGAATCATAGAAGCCCGTTTTCAGAACCACAGTCCATAAAACATAGTTGGGAAATACCACTTTCACCAATTAGCTGAAGCGGTCTAAAGACAGTGCAGTGGAAAAGTTGTATTAATCTGGGGATTAAAGATAAATCAGGTGAGACTGTAGTACCATAAGTTGAATTATTCAAGGAAGTAACATTTATATGATGGTCTTGAAGTAGAAATACAAATATGCACAAAATTGAGAAGGAATCTAAGGGTCAGTAAAGGTAGGCCTTGGATAGCAAACTCAAGATTTTTATATTATTCTATGAAAAGAGGAAAGAAAGTTTTGGTGCAAAGGGAGCCAGATGGATGTCCTTTAATGGCCAGATATGGCATGGCATGAACTGACAAGAGTCAAGATTTGGAACCGGAAGACCAGTCAAGCTGTCACTTGGGCTGAAGCCCTGAGTGCCCATACCAAGGCAGGAATGAAATTTGGGAATAGCAGGCTGATTACATGATTCTTTACTTTAGCAGTAGATTTTACCCTGAAAGCTTTTTGTTTTAGCCTGAACCCAGTTCCTTTCAAGATCAGAACTTACAGTTGATCTCAAGAGACAGCTTTGTCCCTTGCTGTACAATTAAACTTGGGTTTCTTTCCTGAACTGCTGCCATCTGCACACCTTTTGTTATTGGGATACAAGGCTGGCCCATGCTATTTCTTTCTGAAAGTGACATGAGAGGTATGGATTCACCCTATGCAGGACAGCATTTATGCCATCACCATGAGATGATGAACTGTTTCCTGTTCAGTTCTTGGAAGTCAAGAACTGAACAGGAAACAGACATGAGGCATAATCAGTTTTATCCACCATGAAGAAGTTATTACACAAATAATGAGGCAGAACCTCTCCAATTTTAATAATAATGGAGTGGATATCATTGAGATTACTGAATCAAATTAATGACTTAGCTACTGATTGGAATAAAACAACAAAATAATAAATGCAAGTTTTTTTTTTCTTCTACCCAAACACCCTTTAAATGTAAGATCTGAAGAGAGTAGTCAAGTTGCAATTCCTACTCAGCTATATCCTTTCCTTTAAATAAGGGAACATAATACGTAAGAGCCATTAGAGGTATAGAGCTGAAATTATTCCTTTTTAAAGTGGAAAATGCAAGGCTAATAATGCATAGGGTCAAGTGCAGTGAACTTATGGGAGAGGCACAAAGAAAGGCTCAAATTAGCTACCTCTTTGCATGGCAGATGGGGGCAGCAGCAAAACCTCAGCTTCCTGTGCTCCATTCCCAATTCACAGTCTCTCCTGTTTCTCTGGCTATTAACTGTATCCTCCCTTTGCCCTCACAAAGGGGCACAAAACTACTCATCAGGCAGTGGAAAAAAATTATAACTAGTAGCACTCTAGACATTTCATTATTCAAATCAGCATAAAATGATTATACAAAATCCCTCAGGAGCTGAAGTGGCCCTCTTTTCACTTTTAAAACTATGCTTTGACTGATAGAAAGTCTGTCTTATTTAACATCATCTAACAAGACCCCCTCAAGTATATCTCTCTTCCTTGACACAGTTATATATAATCTAGAACATTATAAAATGTCTCCCTGATCTAAACTAGCAACATGACTTGATTCATCATTCACTTTAAATTAATGAGATTATTTGTTCAAGTGATATTATTAATGGATTGTATAATATCCATCAGATAAAGTATGAATAGTGTTGAAAGCAAGCAAATTAAGTCATCACAGGCCTTGAAAAGCAATGACTGTGGGCTGCCATGATAGTCTGATTTGTAGGAAATTTAGACTTAAATAGTGGCTCAGACTGAGTTATCCTACTATTATTTTTTGTGTGAAATAAATCTGTGAAACCGACAAAGACCAGCCAAATGTACAAATTTGAACTTCTAATGAATACAATGACATTTAAAATCTCGAAGGTCACCCTCATAACTTTAAAGTCATTCCACTAAAGTCAAAAACAATTTTTAAATATTTGGAGAAAGGACCAAGTGATGTCATTAGTACATATTGGCCAGAGGCAAAGGGTAAAGGGAAAAAGGTAGAGATGTGCCATATTTTATTATAACCTATAATTAATTGTAGGCTTTTCTTATTAAAAGCACTCAACAATCACTTAAAAAATTGTCACCCATAAGGTAGTGTCTTCACATTGCCACACATCTTATATAACTTTAATAACAAATACCGTGTTGAATCATTAAAACATCTTTTCTCATGTATCTGTGTGTGTCTGTGTTTCTCAGAAAAAAGAAATCTACAGAAAAATGATAGCTTTCATTCATATGGCAGCATAATTTGTAACTTCATTACCTCTTTGGATTTTAAAACCCTCCTGTGAAAGTTGATAAGAAGAGTATTATTTTCCCATTGTACAAATGAATAAAGACAGTACGAGACAGGTCCAAAATCACCTGGTATTTGGACTAAAAATCCAGGGCTCTTTCATTGAGCTTTGCTCTCCCTTTGTCTGCCCTTTGGGTGGTAGGAAGGGCAGAAATGTCATCTCCCTTTAAAGAGGAAACTAAAAATGCAATGGCAGAAACAGCAATGACCCCTGATGAGGAAAAGGCTCCTGACAAAATTCTGACTGGTATCTTGATTTAGTAAAAGCACTGCTCAGAGCAAAAGGATCTAAAACTTATACAATGTTTAATTTCCTTGTCAAAATTACAGAATCAGAGAGTTGAACCTGATTCTTTGTGTGTAAGCATAAAATATGAGCTGAGATTAATGCTAAATCATGAGCTGGCATTAAACCATATTACATGTCTACATGCACACACACACACACACATATATATAGATAGATATTTTTTTCCAAAGGGGTATTAACAAATCAGAATAATACTTAAACACACTGCAAAACAGCATAGACCAAAAATGAGTCACCCAAGCCCCAGGGGTTTGATTTTATGACTGACTTAGGATGGATAATTAAAACAATAATAATTACAGAAATGAATCTGTTCTTTTTGACCAAAAAGACCTATCTGCTAAGAACCAGGTCCAGATCACTTTGACTTACACATGTAAATTTTATAATACCACTACCTTGCCTTGATGTAGTCTTTTAATTTTTCAGCAGGCTTTTCACATGCTAATACACACTGTTATGCTTCTGTTATTTTTAATGAGAAAATCTTCCTCTTCCTGTCTCCAGGCCTCACCTGGTGAAGTCTGTCATTTCCATCATGATCATACACATCTGCTTGGCCAGCACAATGATATCATTGCCGCTGTCGTCCCATTTGGCCACTTCAGCATCCAGCTTGCTTTTCTCTTGGTGGAATATCTCCACCTGCTCAGCTATTTTTGCCTTCTCCTCTTGCGGTAGTTGTGCCATGATGGCCTGTGTGGGTTACAGAAAAAGTGTGACTAATGGTGACAAAGAAGCACAGACAGGAGGGTGACTCTGCCTCCAGTTAATGGCAAAGCCAGACCCTGACAAGGATGATAGGCTGCCCCACCATTCTGGAAAGTACTTTTTCTCCAGCCCCAAGAATGCAAACGCACAGACTGGTAAGGTCCCCCCATTCCCTGTCCCTGTTCCAACATACAAAAAAATAAGAGATCCAAAGGTACGTGCACATTGACAGTAACAGAACTTCTTTGTCGCTGTGATGACATATGTTTGTTCAAAAGAATCTATTCCTGACGATTTTTATATTTGGTCTTGGGAAACTTTTACCAGATGAAAGAATGCACCTCTTTCAACACTGAAATCTGTTCAGAAAAAAAGAAAACAGGCCTCTGTTGCTGGGAAGGAAAAGAATTTTAAAGAATATCTGAGCATCCCAAGTGGGGTGGGGAGATGTCCTGTGAGTGTTAATGAAGCCATTCATGGTTAGATGCCAAACAAAACTCCCTTATGCAGGGCACATCAGGGATGGCATACCTATTCCCAGTCCTCCTGTATGGAAATCCTGGGTCGAACATGGCTCCCTGGAGAGCCTATGAGTATGTACAGGGAAGCTGTGATGGGATAAAATTTAGGATTAAGAAGCAAAGGTTGATTTTCAATAGTTGCTAGGTAAGGGAATGTAGAAAAGGAAAAACTACAGTTGATTCTCACTATTCACAGATTTTTTATTTGCAAATTTGCCTACTCTCTAAAATCTATTTGAAATCCCCAAATCAATATTTGTGGTGCTTTCAGACATTCACAGACATATGCAGAGATACCAAAGTTTTGAGTCATCGACAACCATGTTCCCAGATGAGGCCGAACAAGGGTTTCTCTGCTTTCTTGTTTCAGCACTCATACCATAAAGAAGCGTCCTTTCTGCAATCTATTTAGTACCACATTTTCCACATATTTATTGGTGGTTTTTATTGGTGGCACTTTTTATTGGTGGTTTTGCTGTCTAACTTGGCCCCCAATCCTAGTGCTGAAATGCTGTCTTGTATCTCTAAGCACAAAAAGGCTGCGATGCGCCTAATGGAGAAAATGCATGTATTAGATGAACTTCGTTCAGGCATGACTTTTAGTGCTCCCAGCTGTGAGCTCAATGTTCATGAACCAAAACTATCTAATAAGGTATCTAAACAGAAACACTCATTAAACAAGATTACATATTGATGGGTTGAAGGAAATGTTAAGACTAGCAGCTCTCAGGAAGCTAACCCTGCATTTCCCCTAGGAGCAATGATTCCGTAGTTGCTAATTAAGTGTTCATGGTGACTTTACAGAACATAAGGGCCGTGAATAAAGAGAATCAACTGTATTTGTTAGACACTATTTATGTAGCAGGCACTGAATGAAATGTTTGACATCACCTCAATGCATCCTCAAAGGACCATTTACAACCTGCTTCACTGAAAGGACCACGTGGATCAGTGTGTCAGCACTGATATCCCTCTCATTCTGGGATGCACGTATTCTCCAGAAGAGCATGATTTGGGGTACCGACAGCTGTTGCAAAGGACAAGTAAATAGCACAAAAAAACCTTCTTTCTATATTGTAAAGTTCCTCCCAATGTGAGTGAATTGTTCAAAGGAGAGGTAGGTAGCTGGTATCTAATGGAAATATCAGTGGATATAAGCTCAGAAAAACTGGGCTCAACCTGGCTCTGTAACTGACTTGGGTTAAGGCCTCATTGCTACTGTATCACATCCTTAACGTTCTATAATATAAGAATAGTAAACAATTACCTCAAAATGTTATGGTGGACAGAAAATGAAATAATAAATGTAAAATAAAAGTAAGCATGTGTGAGATTATTGTTAACATTATATTATCGTTATTTCTGTATGAGTTTTCTTCTAGCTGCTTCTCTAGCTTATTACTTAGTTGCCATCAAAGAGAAGGGATGGGCTCAGATACTATGTGACTCTCTATAAATAGAAGATTGACATGATTCCTTGAACACAGGCATGTATACTGGGTACTGTACTAAAAGGCTTATGAATGTCAAAAATTTAATCTACTTAATTATTCTACAAGATTAATACTATTATTACCCTTATTTTATTAATGATGATACCAAGATCCAGGGAAGTTAATTAAATTCTGAATATTACACAACTAATGAGCTATAAGAATAGGATTCAAACCCAGGTCAGCTAACACCATACTTAACCATTATGCACAATGGGATCACCATGCAGGACCATGCGGGTTAGACACTGCCCAGTGGTCCCAGCCCAGTGGGGCAAAGATCACTAAAACTCTAGGCTCTGTCCACCAGGCTGAGCATCCTAGACAAGCCTTCATCTGCCCAGGGTAAAGGGGTGCCTTTGTCTGATTTGCATAAAGTGTCCTTGAACCAGCAGCTTCCCAGATGCTACATCTTACTAATAGACAGCCATGTCTATGAAATCCCATTCATGCATGTGTGTGACTTTATACAAATAGCATGTGAGTGTGTGTGTATGATGTATGTATATACTTATGTAGATCAATATGTGTGTGCGTGTGTATACAAAAACTACAATCCATATTTTAAAAGCCAGACTTGTGCAAATACAATAGTTAAAGTATTAAAATACTAATATTTGAAAAATATTTTACAGTACTTTTAAAGATAGCTAATATACAAAAGAGCTTGTTATAAACTCACATATGCAATATCATACTAACTGCAAGGCTGCTAGCTTTTCCAATACCTTTGAGATAGGTTTGGATTTGCAGAAATTTCCTGAAGCATCCCTGTCTGATGTTCTAATGCTGTCTTAGATTCATCTGTCGTCCTCATACAAAATTGATAATCATGTTTTACTTAAACCTCACAAGTCCTAACTAGCATCATTTAAAGCATCCGTTAGATGCTTCTCTGTAAAAGAATCTATAAAACTACCTGACAGACCTCCATACTCTACATTCAATCTCCAGATTCTAGCAATAAACCTGTCATTGTTCCAAAAGGGTTAATTTGTGCATTAAAGGGTGTACACGTGTCTGTCAACTGTATCACTTGAGTTTCACATTGTGCAGTTTAGCATTTGAATGTTAACTCCCTTGCTCTAACTCTCTAATTTCGAGTAATGCCCTACCTCCAACTTCTCTTTGAGCATCCTGAGGGTAGAGTCCCCACATCCTGCACAGTGTAGAAGCTAAATACATATCTCTCGATTGACTGCTTACCCATTTTTCCACTCACTGCATCAACATAGTTTGAGAGAAGTTAACAGAACTGACATACGTTCCATAAGGGCACAATTCCAAAGAAAAACTGGCTCCTTAGAGCAGATTTGTATAAGAAGATGTTATTTTGACTCTAGGTGTGCTCTGCCAGCATAATGCACTTAATGGTGTGTGATTTGGGTGTAAGAGTCGTTATATTTGCCTCTGCTTATATAGCTATCGATGAAGTAAAGTTGTTTCCTAAATATTATTAAAATGCTCTTAGCTTTTAAAAATTCATAATTGACCTTTTCTGAAACTGAAATTTTAAAAAAGGTTATCTATAAACAGTAGATCACAAACTGTGAAATTTGCAAGTTAATCGAATTAAAATTCAACACATGAGTTTTAATTAGGTCTTATCAATGTAACTCAGCAGTTTGAAATGTTAACACATTAAAGCTGTTCTAGCTAGGAAAAAAAAAATTAGAGGCTGGCTACATTCAAATCAAATCGAATGCAAAATATATGACATGCAATTGTTCATTCCCTCAAACTAAGGAAACATGAGAAAAATGATTTTCATGACCAAAGGGAAAGACAACAAATCAGCTTTTCTGTTTGTGTCATGTGATCACCTGGGGCGGTCTGAGATTTTTGGCTGCTTTCTGTGTAGCTAAGCACAGCTGTCCAGATTGTTGATCTGGGACCCCAAGTCAGTGGCATCAGAGACTTGAATTCACAAAGTTTTCTAACCACCCTGTTCCATGCTCCTAGCTTTTCCTTTGAATATCCAACCACTTCTTTGTGATTGTTTTAAACTTTATTTATTAAATGAAAGTGCAAATCACTGACACAAGCCAATGACCACTCAGCCCAGAACCTTTTTCTTCAATCTAAATCTCAAAGAGCTTTTTTCCAATCTCAAAAGGATTATTTTTCCAATCCCAAGATGAAAAATGACTTTTAAAGTCCATGGACCTCCAAACTGATATGTTAGTTTCTTAAACACAGAGCAAGAGTCTTACATTTTAAGGCTTTAAGTACATAAATGTTTATAAATAATGATTTAAAAGGTTAAAATTTAATGTGCCCATTTCTACTCACTTGGTTTTAAAGCAGGATAATAAGCATAAGAAATTAAGGAGTGGGTGACTTTTACCTGTCTCAGGCTGTGAAGTGAATTGGAAAATTGGAAAATTGAGGTCCTTGTCTCATTAATTCAAATTAAAACTTGCACGATGGTCTGAATTATCTAGCTCTTTCAGGTTAAATTATTGGTCAGCCTTCTAATGAATGACTACCTTGTGCTACAAGCATCATCATCATCTTCTTCATTAAACTTAACATTATGTAATAACTCGTGATATATTTCGTCATGCATTTCTCCTAATGACATTATGAAGTAGGATGCTGTATATATATTTTATATATATATATATATATATAATACACACACACACACACACACACACACACACACACACACGAGGAGACGAGGCAGGGACAGGTTAAGAAAATTACCCCAAAGCCGCACAGCTTGGCCAAGTTCATATTTCAAATCAGGTTTGTGTGACTCGAAACAATATATTTCATCATGAAGGTTAAATGCCCAAGAGTTGTTGCTGATCAATTTTAACTATGTCAGCTTGTGAGGAAAGAGTTTATAAGATGTCATGTTTAGGAACAAAGGGCCTGATCATTTCTATATTTCATCAGATCAGGGTATGATTGTTCTCATTCATTCTCTCTCTCTCTCTCTCTCTCTCTCTCTCTCTCTCTCTTTCTCATAAAGTATTGTAGACAAGCAGCAGACAGGAACACATAAAGGAAACAAACAGTCACTCTAATTTCAGAATTTGAGAGCAATGTTGGAGTGGGTACTAAATTCTTTTCTCCCACCATAACCTCCTCTTAGATTAATTTACCATTTTCAGAGAAGAATTTCTCTGAATGAGAACACAAAGTAACAGGAGAGAACAGGCTGCTGGAAAGAGCAACTGCCTCTGTCAGAGACAACTTTTGCCTCCTTCACAATTTCGACCAAGTTAACACACTTCTCTGGTCAAAAGTTCGACCATCTGTCATCTCATCAATTCAGTGCACCCTCTTATTTTCAATTTGCAGCCATAATTCTATGTCTCTGATTTGTCATCATATAATTATAGGCTTAAATAGGCTGACTCAATAACTAATGCTGCCTGCTGCAAGTTACTCACACAGACATCATGATAGATCGCAAAGACAAATCAGCAAGTGCTGGATTACAGGGGTACTTTGTTCTTATTATCCTGGCCCATGTTCATCACTCATGCTGAAAAATCTTTTGAAAAAGACTATTATTGTCTTTTCACCCACTGGGTGAAGAAATAATAAATGATGTAGAGAGGTGCCATCTGACTTTCGTTTCCAGCCATCATAAAAGACTTGATGTCTAATGTAATGGAAGTATAATGGGGCTGTATTCTTCCTTGTAAAAAATGAGGCTAATCATGCCATTTTGACAAGATGGTAATTAAAAGATTATAAGATAAAGGTTTTACAATATGCCTTAGTCTTTGAGAAAACAAGTCAATGGATACTTGGGCTGTATCAATACTAAGTTGCAGTCAGTCAATTAAATTGACTTTGAATTGATTAATGTTTGGGTGAATTACTCAAACTTGCCCTTTGTCATTGACATAAAAATGCTGGTTTTAGTTAATTTTGAAGATGACTTGACTTGACTGATGCATTAGTTTAGCGTTATGCCAGCATAAGCTCAGAGGACTCTCAGCTTAACTTCCCTGTTTTCAACATTTTAGGGGGAGGAAATAGAGTCTACAAGGTATTTTTTAAAGTAGGGAGCTTCATACTCTTTTGTGCACTTTTTTACTGTCACCAGCCTGTGATTAGAAGAGATTTCTCTGCCAAAGGATGACAAGTCATCCCTTATTGAGCACTTAATATATGTCAAGTATTTTGCTCATTATTTTAATATATTAAGTAATTAGAACCTCAGAAGAATCTTATCAAACAAGTCTATTATTTACATTTTACAGATGATAGGACTGAAGCTCTGAGAAATTAAGCAGCATGTAACAGCATAGTCCCCACTCTGCTCTTCACAATTCAAAACCAAGTCTGTCTGAAATCAAAGCCAATGCATCTTCAATGCCCTGGCTTTTACTCTCACATTACCCCTATCAATGTCCATATACATCTTCTGTATCATTTAGTTGTTGGATGAGAGTATCAGGAGAAATAAGATTTTAAGTACAAAGACTTTCTTGACTCAACATAAAGCTTAGTCTTTGATTGGCTATTTCCTACTCTTCTTTCACAATTCCTAAGCCAGTGTGAACTTCCTAGGGTTTCTTAACCCTATGCTAAATTACCATCTCTTTGTCATACTTCCTATTCATTTTCTTTTAAGTGAAACTTAACAAAGAAAATTAGAATATCTAATTCTCAGTTATACTATACTTTGATTATTTTTGCCCTATGGAAACTGAGCCTTTAAAGGGAGGAGAATCTTGCCCTCTTGCAATGCCTAGGAATTTTATCTCCTTCCACCTGCCTTGATTACCAACATCTTACCCTCAAGGAGCTCCAGCTAATAAGATTGGTCAGATTCCAGAATCTTCTGTGGAAGACTTGTGTTGGTGGACAATGTCACAGAGTGTTCAAGGGTATTCAAATGTCAGCCAGAGTGGTGATCTTTCTGTTGCTTCTTGCTCCACACCTTAAGCTGGTATGTTTCTCGTGTCTCTGTAATTTCTTTTTCAATCACATGGTAGACAGATCTGGGGCTACTGCCCTGGCCATAGATAGGTATTGGGGGAAGAAACGTTCTCTCTCTACTCTGATGGCCTTGAATGAATTTCAAAATATGTGGTATTGTTTATCAGAGACCCTAAGCCAGAGTATGGAGCAACAATAGGCCCACAAATAACAAAGTAGTACTCTAATTCTCCATTTGTGGTTTCTTTTGTGTGGTTAAGAAGGTTGGAGACTTCAAGCAGAACCATGGTGTCTGTGCCAAAGTAAGATCTGAGCATTCCTGTATCCCCTGGTCACTGAATCATCTAATCATGATCCCCAACCCCCAACAAATCCACCATACACATAAGTTTTGCTGTAATGTGGCTGCTATGTTTTGAGTTATGGAGAGAGAATGGAGTTAGAAGGAATCAGAATCAGTGGTGGTCACTTCCAATGTGTAAAATGTGAATTGCTAGAAACAACCCCAGATGAGGCACAGATTTCTGAGCCATGAACCTCTGGGATTCCAGGTCCCTGGAAATCAGAAATTCCCTCAAACCAATTTGGTGAACACAGCCCCTGTGCACCAAACCAAAGTCCTGGATGCCCACTCACCCGTGCACTCTGCCCTGCAATGAGCTGGTCATCCTCTGTCTGAACACTTGTCCGGCTACGTACATCATAATCTTCTTGCTCAAAGTCTGAATCGTCCTCTAGTTCTTCTGGGGTCTAAAAATACAGAGGAAAAGAGAAAAATCAGCATACAGATCTCCCTCGACTTACAATGGGGTTAAGTCCCAATAAACCCACTGTAAGTTGAAAATATCATGTCAAAAATGCATTCAGTACATTAACCTACAGAACATCATAGCTTAGCCTAACTTACATTAAACGTGCTCAGAACACTTACATTAGCCTACAGTTGTGCAAAATCACCTAACACAAAGCCTCTTTTATAATAAAGTGTGGACTACCTCATGTCATTTATTGAATACTCTATTGAAAGTGAAAAACAGAATGGTTGTCTGGGTACAGAATGATTGGATTGGTTGTGGCTTGGCTAACTGGGAGCTGTGGCCTCTGTGCCTATACAGTAGTAATGGATAACATGATTTAAGTGCCTTCCATATGCCTATCACTTTTCTAAGTGCTTTACATACACTAATTCACACAGCTTTCTTGACAGTCCTATGATGTAGACACGATCTTCTCCATTTCACACATAAGGAAACTGAGATGTGAGAGGATATACCTTGTTCAGAGTCTTCTAGGGCAGGCAGTTTGACTCATGTACTGGAAACTACCATGCCGTGTTAATTCTAAGAGGATAAACACAGGAGGTGGCAAGGACGGTGCAGGAAGGGAAAACAGTGCATTAGTGTGACATTCTGTGCTCTACTGTCTTTAGCCAGAAAGCTGATGGTCACCCACAACCTGCCTCCTGGCACATAGGAGCACCACCTCCCAGGGCTCTGTCTTTCAAAAGGAAGGAACAGATCACAGGCAGCACTGATGATGCAGTTGCCCATTCCCCATCTAAAAGGGCATATTTTAATTAATTTTGCTGGTTTCTTTGGCTACCTCAGTGTAATTAACCAGGTGTGGTTATTGATGAAGTCTTGAGATTGGTCAGACAGGCATAAAATGGGGTCCTTGGTGCCAATATCACATTATGTTTAGTAATTTTCCGAGCTTTAGCATATCCCTCTTGTTTTCCTTCTCTCTCACATCAACCTTATTAATATTTACTCAGTCATCTACAGATGTTCAATATTCTTTCACAGGAATATTAAAAGAAAGAGGTTTTGTTCCCATGTTTTATTAACTCAGGCATGGGTGGGGTGGGCAAACCCTGGTTCACATAACTGGGTGTTTTCACTGTGGACAGAGACAAGAATCTCTGTTCATTTCTCACTCTTCTGGAGTGTGTCAAGGAACAGTTACAGCAAGTTGGTAAATTCTGCTGACAGATGAGATGACAAGATTGTAGGCACTTTTCATCATTAGTTTTTGAAAAGGACAGAGAAAAATAAAATGGAAAACCTCACTCAACAGAAAAAAGGAGAATATGACAGTACCTATAGTAGTGTCCAAACATTGCAGTGATTTGCACATTCAGTAGATGAGTCAATGGCAAATGCAACCTGGCAGCATAAGGCTCATAATGATGAGCTTGTATTCAAGCGGCTACAGCTCAGGAGCCAAAATACAATTTAAAAATGAAAAAATGGCATTATTTCATTTTTTTTAAATGTATAACTGATTCACTTTGCTGTATACCTGAAGCTAACACAACATTGTAAATCAACTATACTCCCATAAAAATTTTAAAAACAATAAAACAAAAATAAAAAAAAAAATAACCTGGATATGGACCCAGGGGACCTGAACATTTGGGGCCTAACTCTGCCGCTGATAGGCTGTGTGTCTTTCACAAGCTACTTAGAGCTTTTCTACCTCCTCACTCATAAAATGGAGATAATAACTGCTACTTGCCCTGCCTGCCTCACAGGATTCTAGGATCAAATATATATGAAAATGCCTGGTAAACAATAAAAGTAAACTAAAATAATAAGTGATAGTGATCATTATTATGCTTAATAATAAAATATACACCTAGCAACAATAGCTACAATCACCATCATCATCATAGCAATCATTTTTTACTAACCATTATGGGTCAGGCATTCAGCTAAACGATTTAATACTTACAATGACCTAATGAAATAAATTTAATCCCCATTTTATAGATGTACAAACAGGTTCAGAGTTGTTAGGTAAATTTTCCAAGGCACCACACCTAGCAAGTCGAGGGTTCCAGTGCTTTTAACCATCACAAATACCACCAGACAAATGGATGAGATTAAAATATTTTCTTGTGCCTAAACCGTGCAGCAAACGCATCCAAGCCACCCATATACATAGTTCTGTGCATGTGAAGTTTCCTAATTTCATGTAATTGTGTCTCCTATCCATGCTGTTATTTTTTTTTAACTTATTCATTTTGAGTGTTAATTTCTGACTGGTCAAGGACCTCCACAAATTAAAGGAGACATGGAAAAATATTGATGGCCTGCAAATGGGCCAGAGATAATTAGACTTGTATCATTAGATAGTGTCATAGGGTAAAAGGAATAGAAAAAATATGCAATTCACTGGACTGGAGGCTGGAGAGTGAAGGTCAAACCTCTCAATTCTGTCCTTATGTGCTCTCAGGGAAGGCCTTTTTATAAAAATAAAGAACCACTTTGACCTACCCTTGGTTCCATGGTTCTACTAATAAAGTATTTGGCCTGTAAAATATCTCCCTTTTAAGAGTCTATCCGATTAATGTGTGCATATTACAGAAGCCCAAGTATATCATGTGACTTTTCCAGGGTCACACCACATGTCAGCTGCAATACAAGATCAATCTACCTGCCTCAGTTTCCCAATCAAATGCTCAGTCTTCTCTACAACAGCTTCTGTAAAGAAGCAAAATGAGAAAAAACTGAATAATTTACAGTCATTTCACCAGGACATGTGAAAAATGTAGTAAGGACAATTTAAATGAACAGCTCAAATGTAAATGTGTTTCATTGGGAGCAGAAAGATGACACAATTTGGCAACTGCAACAGGAGAGTTTGGGGGATGCATGAAGAAGGATTTCCCAACAGATCTCCAATCACTGGAATGGATTGGGAGTTAGAAAGCAGAATTAAAGATTTCCTAAAGCCAGTATAGAACAAAATCTCCCTCATCAGGACTGATTGGCCACTGGCATCTCTATTCTGTATTACTCAGGAGGCTTCCTAACTTAGCTCCTTTTTTCTGCCCTTACACCACACTTCCTATTCTCACCAGTATAGCCAGGATGTTCCACTTAAGCTCTAACTCAGATCATGTTTTTGTCCTGCTCAGAAAACTTCAGTGGCTCCCATCTCTCATTCAATGGGGTTCTTAGGCCACATATGCCGTTCTGTCTGCCTGGAACACACTTCCCCTAATACTCTTTTTTTTTTTTTTTTTGCGGTACGAGGGCCTCTCACTGTTGTGGCCTCTCCCGTTGTGGAGCACAGGCTCCGGACGCGCAGGCTCAGCGGACATGGCTCACGGGCCCAGCCGCTCTGCGGCATGTGGGATCTTCCCAGACCGGGGCACGAACCCGTGTCCCCTGCATCGGCAGGTGGACTCTCAACCACTGCGCCACCAGGGAAGTCCCCTAATACTCTTATGGCTTGTTTCCTCCTCCTTCTCCAAGTATCTTTCCAAATGTCACCCAGTGGCTACCCTTCATAAAACCCACACCCATCCTGTGCTCTATCTCCTTTATACTGCCTTGGTTTTCACATTAACTAGTATGTTATATCTACTTGTTTGTTCTCTGTCTCCCACCAAAGGAATATAAATTCTTTGAGGATCGGAACCTTTGTTATTTTGTTCATCTCTGTATTCAGGGCACTTCCAACAATAGGACATCTAGTAAGAATTCAACAAATGAATTAAGTCATTAAATGAATGAATGACTAAGAGCCAATTACCAAAAATTAAAAAAAATCATACTAAATTATTTTTAATTGAGTTAAGAAAACAAAACTAGGAATGTTATGGGACCATGTTGATAACAGCAATCTATTATAGGTAAATCAGTTTTGTCACATAAGTTGTTTCTAAGGTCTCTTCAATGCTTTATTTTCTAGCTATGACAAATATTCTGACTCCAGTCTTTGCAATTTTGATAATATTGCTGACTAATTTAACAAATTCTATCTCATTGATTGTATGAAGATAAATTTCATCCAGAAGTTTGAGGAAGGGAAATATTTCTTGGGAACATACTAAGGCCAGGTCTATACTAGTACTTTATAGCTGCAGTAATATTTGTCCCCATTTACAGATAAGGAAACTGAGGCGTAGAGAAGGAAATTAGCATGCCAACCACCCCAAAATAGTTAAGCCATAGGTTCCCAAACTTTATGGCTTCAAACATTGTCTCAGGGGCTTCCCTGGTGGCGCAGTGGTTGAGAGTCCGCCTGCCGATGCAGGGGACACGGGTTCGTGCCCCGGTTCGGGAAGACCCCACATGCCGTGGAGCGGCTCGGCCCGTGAGCCATGGCCGCTGAGCCTGCGCGTCCGGAGCCTGTGCTCCGCAACGGGAGAGGCCACAACGGTGAGAGGCCAGCGTACCGCAAAAAAAAAAAAACAAAAAAAAACAAAAAACATTGTCTCAGTAATTTTTTCATGGTGTCTCTAGGCTAAGAAACAAAAGAAAACTAATGGTTCTGCTTCTTAAGCAGTTAGATCATAAAAATGGATTAAGTTGATTGGCCCTAACAATTTAGTGCCTGTTGCACATTGCATTACTTCTCAAACCTTGGAATACAGTTGAACGTCCATTGAGCTTGTTTTTTATCACAGCAACCACCAGAAACCCTGCATCACAAATACATGATAGGATCAATATATGATCAAAAGGAATGTACCAACCTAATGTTTAAACTGTGAGCCACCTTCAGCTACTATGTCACACAGTATCTGAGAGATGTTTATGTGTTTCCCTTGACATTTTAAAATATCTTGCAATGCTCCAGGGCATCTTCATGGCCATTTTGGGAGGTGTGAAGTTAAGCTATAGAATCTTATCTGAACCCTGTCCTAAGCCCTATTGTTTCTCTTCCCTGCTTTCAAAAGTTTCATATGCAACCAAATTAATGGGTTCCAATTACAAAAGTTCAATGTACAGATATCATTTTTTGTCGTGGTCATTCTATGAGAAGCAACTACTGTTTTGTTGAATACAGATATTCTGACACCAAGATATTACCACCTTCTATGCTACTTTAATTTCCAATATTAAATGTTTAACTCCTTGTGTCTTAAATATACACTTGTTCCTCCTTATTTGCAGATTCTTTATTCGTGAATTTGCCTGCTCACCAAAGTTTCTCACAATCCCTAAATTAATACTTTTGTAGTTATTCACAAGCGTGTGTGTGCAATGTGGCAAAAACTTTGAGTCACCCAACGTGCAAATTTCCAGCTGAGGTCATACAGCACAATGTTCTGCTTTCTTATTTCAGCTCTTGTGCTGTAAACAAGTATCCTTTTTGCAGTCTATTTAGTGCCACATTTTTGCATTTTTGTGCTTTTCGTTATTTCCCTGCTTAAAATGGCTTTCAAGTGTATGTGCTGAGGTGCTGTTTAGCATTCCTAAGTGCAAGAAGGTTGTGATGCACCTTCCAGAGAAAATGCATTGGTTAGATAAGCTTCCTTCAGGTGTGAGTTATAGTGTGGTTGGCCATGAGTTCAACGTTCATGTATCAACAATATATATTAAATAAAGTGTCTTTAAACAAAAACATAAAACAATCTAATATATTGAGCAGTTGATGAAATTGTGACCAGAGACTCACAGGAACCTAACCCTGAATTCCCCCTAGAAGTAGTGTTTCAGTATTCTTTAATTCAGGGTTCACTGAATGTAGCTACTGCAAATAATGAGAATCAAATATATGGTGGTGTGCCAGATTTGTCTATCCATTTTTTAAACTACCATATTAGGGTAATCAGAAAACTCCTATGTAGCTGATAGATCACCAAAGACAAGCCTTGGCAAGAAGCAAACAAAAAACTGTTTTATGGAACAGAGGGAGAGTTGACCTGCTCCCAAAGAGAAGTAGGAACCTGAAAGGTGAGGTTGGAAACAGGAAGGACAAGCTTTGTATGCTTCAGAGGGCTGCCTGGAGCTGGCCTGGAGTGCCTACATACTAACGTCACCATTAAATATGTATTGATTGCTGAGAGGCAAGGTGATGGAGAATTTGACCTTTCAAGGTCCTTTCTGCATTTATTTTTGGGAAAAAATTCTTATTTTTCCAAAGCATAATCAATACTTTGAGAGGAAGGAGGCATGGCCAGGTTTGCTGAGAAAGAGCTCTACTTACTTGTCTTACTGTCTTTCTGCCTGACTTAGTGTCATGATTTTCTTTTTTTTTTTTTTTTTTTTTTTGCGGTACGTGGGCTTCTCACTGTTGTGGCCTCTCTCGTTGCGGAGCACAGGCTCCAGACGCGCAGGATGAGCAGCCATGGCTCACGGGCCCAGCCGCTCTGCGGCATGTGGGATCTTCCCGGACCGGGGCACGAACCCGTGTCCCCTGCATCGGCAGGCGGACTCTCAACCACTGCGCCACCAGGGAAGCCCATGATTTTCTTTTTAAGCAGACCTAACCATCATACACAGAAAGCAAACCAAGAATTTAAGTACAAAATGAAGCCATTCCGGTGCTGAAAGGAGAATGATTTTTAAAATGACAATTTGTACATACTGTACATTTCTCCCTTCCTAAGTTTTAAGTGGTGTTAAATCCATCTGATCAAATCACTTAAAATGTCAAGATGGAGGAATGACACTTCATGTAACAAAGATATGGCATTTTTATCAAAAATTATGGTTTATTACAGCTCATGAATGAATAAATGAATGATGGCTATAAACTTCCTCAGCCTCCCAGATGAATGGTTGTCACAAAAATGTGATGGCTAACAAAGCAGAAAAATGGCAAAAGAGGGAATATGTCTTGAGAATTATAGTGGAATTTAGTGCCAAATGCTTTGAAAACATAACTCTCATAGTCTATTACTTTATTTCACAAGTTAGTATATAACGGGAAAAATGATATAATTTGTTACAGGCTTAAAACGCTGACTATCCTTCCTTTACTTCTCCTCCAGCTCTCATACCTTTTCTCTCTGTCAGTTTTCCATCTGCATAGTTATCTCTTTTTCTTTCCCCCAACACACACAGTATTAAGCACTGTGCCAGACAATGCAACACAGTGACGGGAAAATAAAAAATACAGTCTTTGCTTTCAAAACTTTCAGTCTAAAGAAGGTAATAGACATTAAAAGAAATAGTGTAACGATTATGATCACAAGCAGAAAGAGTTATAGGTAGCTAAAGAATAGGGTCAGTATTTTTGAGGGAGAAAATTTAGGGAAAGAAGATTTGAGCCAGCTCTTGAAAGATGGTAAGAGTTTGACAGATCTAAAATGCGGGAAGTTAGAACAGGAAATATATTTGACAGTCTCCAAAGTCCAAAGTTGAACTCCACATTGTTATGTATAACTAGTATTGTCTGGTACAACTTATGCAATGTGTAGGTGTGTATTATAGAGAGAGAACAATAAATCACAGATACTTCTTCAAGTATTGAGGAACCACACACAGAAAATAAATTGATTGTTACTGTGTTTAAGGGGATGTCGGTTTAGATGCTCAGTGGTCACCCTGAGAGAAAGTGTTTCAAGATGCACTCAGCAGTTAACTCATGGTTTCACTGAGCAGCCTCAGAGACAGCTATGGAGGCTGAAGATGGAGATACAGTCTAGGGCTGCCTCATCCAAAATGATGGCCACAATCTACATGGAGCTATCAAACACTTAAAATGTGGCCAGTGCCACATGCTGAAAAGCTAGTTTTGGATACCTTTGAGTAAATAAAATATGTTATTAAAATTAGTTCATCTGTTTCTTTTTGCTTTATTGACACATCTACTAAGAAATGAAAAATTACAAATGTGCCTCACATTATATTTCCATTGGACAGCTGGCTTTTAAGACTAGCACCACAGGTGCATCTTCTCTGCCTCAATCTTAATACCCACAAATATATCTGTGTCATCAATTATGCTTTTGAACATGTATTTAAGTTTACTAAGAAAGAGTTCTGTGGCTAAGAAAAGTGTTTGAAACCTACTGTGCCAAATTGTTGATAAGGCAAGGAGAAAAAATAGTCTCAACTCATGATGAAATATTGTGCAGAAGTTAAATGGGATGAGGTAAGCTATGTGTCTTCATAGAGATAGAATTGGGTGAACAAAGCAAGTTGCAAATAACACTTATATGAGTTTTAAAATCTGCTGTATTATGTTTTCTAGTATGTGTCTATATATAATTACTTAGACAATGGTTTGGAAGGCTCACACCTACCTGACATCAAAAGACTGAGGATGGGAAGATAGTAGGGTAGGTGATAGGGGAGGTTTGCTGAAAGATTATTTAGCCTTATTTATAATGTCTTAATTATTTGTTACAAGAAGAAGGTAGCTCTGTATCGCTTTATTGTCATTATCAATATCATTATTATTATCATTATCACTAATACTACTAAGCTGGGTGATCTTCATTTCTTTCCATTGCATGGCTTTCTGATTCTAATGGGAAATAGTGTTAGCAATAGGGAATGGAAGGGGCACCCCTAAGTTGGTATCAAATTTAGGCAACAATGTGTGTAAGAAGTAGGCAGGACATCACCCTTCAGAATATTCAGTGCTGATCTAGGCTTGTTGGGATCACTCATCCCTTTATAAGTAAAAAGTCCCCATTGTCTGACTAGATGAGGAGCTAAACAGCTTACCAAGTTAAACTAAATAATTAAAAAAACAAAGAGTAAATTATTTGGGGCCCCTACTAGAAGTTCCATTCAGCTCCGAGCTACAGAGACCTCACATACCCTGATCATCAGCACAGCCTTTCTGATGTCCCGAACACCGTCGTATACCAGGCGAGAAGCATCGATGAACTCATTCTCTTCAAATGGTTGAGGGACGTTGGCACTCAGGGCTTCAATGGCAACCTCCACTTGTTCAGCAAAGCGTGGCATCACTGTGTTAAACAAAGTGAAAAGCAGTGGATTAGACAATCTTTCTTTCATGCTCCCTTGTTTCAGCCCTTAGGGAAGATGGCAGGCTCTGGGTATCCCAACATTTCAATGAAGCTGGGTGCCTGCCTGTCCATTTTAGAGTGGATCCAATTTAGTGATCTTTGTGCCACTTACCTTCAGCAAGGAAAGCAAACCGTTACTCCTTGAATGGCGATGGTATGCAACAGAGCAAGTTTTTGAAACCTGCCTAAGGTAGTGTGGAATAGTGTATGTGAGTCCAGGTTTCATGTTATCCTGAGCTGAGTTCCAATTCTGCTAGTTCCTAGCTGTGAAACCTTGGCCACATTTTCTTAACTCTTCTAAATCTGTTCCTTTGTATATAAAATATGATAGTAAGCTCTTACCTTGGGGTTCAATGCGATAACGCATACAAATGCACTGGATGACATCTGGCCTTTAGAAAGCCTCAATAAATATGGACCTAACATTAAATGCTAAAGTCATAGCTGGTTGAATAGCAGACTTTAATCTATGTTGTTGCATAGTAAAATGTAAATGAAATGATCCAATCCATTCCACTTCTGTCTGGAATGCAGGTCTTGAGACACTGGAGGTGGGGAGATGGCTGTGGAGGGAGGCTTGTGCAAAGACTGTGTAAGAGGGGAGATGGAACACCCAGAATATTCCATCAGAAAGGCTATGAAAAGAGACCAGTGGACTCAAAGATAATTTGATTTTTTTCCATTTTCCCAGAACTTTGTTGATGTGCAAGAGGATACATATGAACATTTTAAAATGTGGGCACCTCTTTCCTTAAATAAGGACAACTACATACACACTGGAAGTTTGTGGAAAGTAAACTTAGTGGCTACTTAAAAAATGCTGCTCATTCACTGATTCTCAAAAATTATAATTCAATTTTTTTCAGCTGTTATCTTGTAACAATCAATTCATATGGCAAAGGAAAGCCAAAAGCACAATTCTTTTTATTTACAAGGACAATAAAATAGAAACGTCATTCATCTATTTCCATTTCTGAATTTTCAGGTCTGATTCATCGTTATACTCATTTTCAAAGTCTGTGGATACTTTAACATCCATTCTAATCCCTAGTGGGAGAAACTCTGCTAAATTACTTTACTCTCCAGGGTCAGAGTATTCAAGATAAAACATTCCTTAAAAAATGTATTTCTACTAGGAAAAGTCAAATGTTATTTTTTAAAAAAAGGAGGGTAAGAGAAAAACAGAGTAACCACTCTTTCAACAGAAATTATCAAAACCAAAGCATGGCAAGGGGTGAATTTCCTTCTGTGAGTAAATTGCTATGAATGGTTCTCTATACTACTTGAATTTTTCAATTGGGCCTTTGAACTGCTTTTATATGAAAGGAATTTGGAAGACGTTGAGAATATTGCTACAAATATGAATCAAATGAAAATATATTTCTAAAACCCACCACAGTAAACTAAGACCATTTCAGCTATACACTTGTGGTGGGAATCAACTGTTTTACATTTCTAAATAATCTAGATAATTGAAACTGATCTCCTTAAGCTTGAAAACATTTTTGCATGTGTCATTTTCACATGAGTATCTTTCTTAAATGAAATTACAAATTCCTTTCCTTTCCTAAACTCAAAATTCTAAATAATATTCATTCCATTTGATATCTAAGCCGCCATAATGACCATCAACAATTTTACAGATGTATATGACAGTATCTGTAGCACTTAGCTGCACAAATTTTTGTCCCTTTTTTATAACTGATAAATGACTGGTACTCCTCCATGTATGTAAGATAAATACTTTTACAAATCAATAAGGAAAAAATAGAAAAATAGACAAAAGTTTAGAAAAGGCAATTCACGAAAAGGAAATCCCATATTATTGATAAATACATAAGATGCTTGACTTCACTAATGAGTGGAAAAATTACAATGTAAATAATAAGATACCTCATACCTGTTGGAGGATGAGCAAACAAATTAAAACTTAAAATATCCATCTTATTGAGCATGTGGAAAAAAAGGGAAACCTTCTACTATAGATGGAATGAAAAATGGGAACATATCATTTTGGCAAATGCAATCTAGTAAAATGATGCTTTCCAGAGCCAGTCAGTGAGTTGCGAAATTAGCTAGGGCATAGCCAAATGCTGACTTCTGAGGAGATACTGATTAGGGGACTGAGTACACTGGGGGCACAGGAATGTCTTTGTGTCTCTAGAGTTACAGTTGTTTATTGTTACGTTGAATATTCCAAGAGTTAATAATAACAAGAGTTACGTTAAACCTGAGGATAATAACTGCTTGAAGGGAGCTCTTTCAACTGACTCTAACCCAGACCTATTCTGAGTCTTCTAACTCAGGCGGGAACCACTGTGATCTGTGCACCCCAGGTTCACAGACTATATATATGGATGGGACAAAATGAACTTAAGGGTGTAAATCAGGAAATAGCCAGTATATTAAATCGAGTAAGTCCTGAGGTCTAAGCGTTTACTGGAAACAGAAAGCTAAAAAGATATGTCATTTGTGAGAAATTTTAAAATGCACAAGAATACTGTGCATAATTTAAACATATACTCATTTTTATTACACATGTTCTGAAAAGATGTATGTAACCTTAAGTTATAGTGGTTACCTTTGAGAGCAGAAGGAGAGGCATAGAATTAGGTAGAGGTCTTAAGGAGGCCTCAGGTGTATCTTATTTTTGAAATAAATAATAATGTGAATCAGATATTGCCAAATAATATTTGTTATACCTTGGGGTACAAGCTGAGTGTCAGTTACATGAGTCTCTGTTCCTTTTGTATTTTTGGATCTTTTCAAAATTCAAATTTAAAAAGAGAGCAACATAATACCCTGAAGGCTTTATTTCTCCTTATAGGATAAGGCTCTGAAAAAATAAAGTTCTAGCTCATGGCCCAAACATAATAGAATCCAATTTGATCCATAGTATTAAGTGAGGAAGACCCTCAGAAATGTTGATTGTGATCAAATGCTTAATATTCCACTAAGACCCACGAGCTGGAAAACTGAGTCGATTAGTCCCTATCCACTAGACCCTCCCAGTGAAAACCGTTGATGAAGTCCAAAAGGGAAAGTGGGGTTGTGTTGCTTTGTTTTATTTGTTCAAGGTCACCCCGAGGAAGAGCTGGGGAAGAGGAAAATGCAGGAATTGACATGCTCTCTTTCTCCACTCTGCACTGATTCTCTCAAGGAAGAGAGAAGAAAGCTAAACTCTAAAGGGACCATTCTCATAAGGGATGCTCTGGGGCCCAAAACATACCCAGTACTACTCTGAAACACCAAGTTTGGCAGAGGGCATTCTGTTTGCTCCAGCATGGAATACAGGATCTCTCTTGGGAGATTTAGGAGGTGCAGTTTTTGAAGGAACAACAGTGTTGTGGATGTGGCATTGTCGGAAGAGGCAGAAAGAAGAGATTGGAAGAGAAAATACCATCAATTTTCCAAGGAGGAAAAATGGTAGAGGAAGTGGTGTGGAATCCTTACTTTTCAAATAGGGGCTCAAAGGGCAGTTTAGCATTAATATTCCAATGACCTTATTTTACTCCTCAAGCTGATAAAACCTAGAACTTGAACACATTCCATTTGATATTTATTTATTGTAACTGACAAGACATCCATTTCTCTTACCACAAGTCAGTGTTTTTCTGGGTCTGACCCTTAAGGAGATTTTCTTCCATGCTCTGTTCCTAAGTGCATTCAATACTTATTTATTTAGTGCTTGGTCAACTGCTAAAACTCTTTAACCAACATACCTTTGCTCTCCACATTGGTGCTCTCTTTCCTGTTTTAGTTTTATCCTCTCTGGTTTTTAAAGTGATAAGACAGAAAAACAAAAGTTTATAGAACAATGATCCATCCTGACAGAACCTAAGATGTTAGTTTAATTATGAATTCTTCCAACACTTTAATAGGGCTTGAAAAATGAAATACCCTCAAAGTAATACTGAGATAGAAACAGTCTCAAAGTACTTCAGATATGATGCTGATTCTACCTCCCCCTAATTAGGACAAAACACAGCATTGCCTTTGTGATTCACACATTGTATATTAACAGAATTTCTGATATAGGATTATATAAATAGATTTCCTTCTACTTTACGAATTACATCCAAAAATGTAGACACCACTTTACTGTTATTTATTAGAAATCCTGGATTGCTCTTAATAGCTTATGTCCTGAAGGGGTGATCAAAGTTGGAAATAAACTTTTAAATTCTCACTGTACTTTTGTATGCAGAGTGCACACTAGGCCACAGAATGATGATATTCCAGGAGTAATGAAATCAGAGTTAAGTATGCATATAAAAATCAAGGTCGCCTATTCTAGTGTTGATCAAGATCCTAAAACAGAGGTGAGGAAGATCTGCACTGAATCCTCCTGAGAGACTTCAGAGGTGAAATTTTAGAGCACAGGGTGAGTCAGTAAAATGAAAAAAACATTGTGCTAAAGATGCAAATAGGACTTCCGACAGCCATAAGAACCGAATCCAAGGTTAAATAGAGGCAGTAGAAATGACTAGCCAACCAACTCCATTGCCTCTGAGTAACCACCTGAAAGGTCAATGCCCTGCTGTAAATGTTCCAATGACTTCTTTTAATATAGAGAGGACTATAAAATCTCTTTATCAAGATATAAACACAAACATCTGACACCTGACTATAATTCCTATCTGTCTCTGTCTCCCCACTTATTCCTACACATATTCAAATGTTCCAATTAGACTGAATTACTTCTATGTCTTCAAATATGACAGAGACACACCATGTCATACCATGTCCATGATCAATTTATTCTCTCCTACTAAAATGTACTTCTTTCTTTGCCCCTGGTGAATACCTCCTCAATCTTCAACAACCAGTTTAGAATTGACTGCCATTGTGAAGCCTTCCTTAATCCCAAGGCACTCCAAATTTGGCCATTCTCTACAATTTTATAACATCCTAATTATGCCTGTACTATTATAGTCCTT